GGCACTTAACAACAACACCAAATCCCTCCACAGATGTAATACAGGAATTGTCTACGTTTGTGGGAACAGACAATGGAGAAAGAAGATCAATAAGCCAAAAATGTGGACCAGACCATTAATTGCTCATATGCAATTTCAGGTTGACACTAAAGAAAAATAAAAACTCCATGAGACCTGAAATACAACATTGAGTATATCCCACCTGAACTTACAGACCATCAAGATTGGATGCATTAGAAGTCAGAAGACTTGTGGAATGACATCAAGAACATCATCTATGAATAAAGCAAAAGGTCATCAAGAAGACAGGAAAAAAAGAAAAGACCAAAGTGGATGTCAGAACAGATTCTGAAACTTGCTCCTGAATGTAGAGTAGCCACAGCAAATAGAAGATTAATGTTTAAACTAACAGAGTTGAACAGAAGGGGAAGCTCAAGAAGACAAAGTAAAGTATTAGAATGAAATGTGCAAAGACTTGCAGGTAGAAAATTAGAAGAATGCACTAGGCATTCCTCAAGCTGGAAGAACTGAAGGAAAAAAAAGTAAACCTCAACTTGTACTATTGAGGGACTCTATGGGTAAAATATTGAATGATGTGGGAACTGTCAAAAGAAAATGGAAGGAATACACAGTCACTGTACCAAAGAATAATTGGCTGACATTCAGCCATTTTAGGAGCTAGCTGTATGATCCAGAACTGATGTATCAAAGGCAGAAGTCCAAGATACATTGAAAGTAGTGAAAAACAAGGTTTCATGAATTGAGATGTTTCAATAAATTGATGCAGCACTTGATGTTGTTAGGTGCCATCGAGTCTGTACTGACTCATAGTGACCCTATGCACAACAGAACAAGACACTACTTGGTCCTGGACCAACCTCACAATTGTTGCCATGCTTGAGCCCATTGATGCTGCCACTTTGCCAATCCATCTCGCTGGGGGACTTCCTCTTTTTCTCTGACCCTCCACATTACCAAACATGATATACTTCTCCAGTGACTGGTCCCTCCTAACAATATGTCTGAAGTATGAGACGATGTTTGGCCATCCTAGTCTCCAAGAAGCACTCTGGCTGCACTTCTTCCAACACAAACCTGTTGGTTCTTTTGGTAGACCACGGCACTTTCAATATTCTCCAACACCATAACTTAAAGGCATCAATTCTTTTACGGTCTTCCTTATTCAATGTCCAGCTTTCACATGCATATGAGGTTA